TATATATATTCTCGATAGCTCGATGACGAAAAAAGTCATCTTGATATAGGTCAACTCCGAAACTGGATGCATTAATTAAACAATATACAGGGTTTTAAAAAAAACAAAATTATGTAATACACATCTAAAGTAAGAAGTTGACGTGACTTGACTTACGCATAAATAATCTGATTTCAGAAAATGATTTAAGTTCCGGAAACGAAGGGCCATCAGCCCATCACACAATCGCCGACCCGATTAGTCGACAAAATTCCAAAACACACAAGTTTTTCGTTGCTAATAAAAAAGGCTGCCTCGATTTCATAATATATGATATTTTCGAAAACATAATTTTACATTTACAGTAACATAATACAAATTTTACCAAAGCAGTGCTGGAACATGAACACGATCAAGGGGAGTTTAAAGATCATCAAAGAAGTGTTTTGAATTTTAAAACTCCGTCAACAATTAATGGGGAGAGTGAGAGTATATGTTGAATGAGTTTTAGAATTCAATATAAGTTGATACATTTGTTTATCTAAAGAATTGAAAAGCTGACGGTAAAACAGGTAGAACATAAAGAAAGGAAAGATGCAGCAGTTGAAGTAAATGATATTTTACGAAATTGTTTTTTCAAATGATATTATATTTTCAACTATAAAAAAAGTTATTTAATTTTGTTATTGTTTTAACTATTTGTATTATGTAAATTGTTTTATCATTGGCTGAATTGTGTTTTATAATGAATTTATGGATTAAAAACTTGTTTTGATGCAATTTTAAGATATTATTCATAAATTAGTTACTTTATAAATTACAAAAGAAAAAAATTAACATCTTCAATAAGATTAAGTAGTGAAAAATAGAGTATGATCCTCATGGAGGATTTGTACAAGATAATTAGGAACATAAAACATAGAAACAAATTGTTCATGAAGGTTTAAAGGTTCTTTTGTGATACGATCAACTGCTTTGTTATTCACTCGAGGGGTCCAAAGAAATAGAACATTTTCAAACTTTAAAGCCACGTATTGATTTCTCGAATCCAATTATGAACACCGAAATGCATCTCTTTATCGTTGAATAATCTATGAACCTGTTTGTTGTCTCCTTCAAATTCAATCTTTCGA